CTAATGCAAAAGAAGGCACATCTGTCTACTTTGTACATGGACTCAATATGATCTTAAAGACAGTGCTGGCAATGTAGTGATTGAGCTGCTACTTGTTGAATCTATTCACTCTTCTATTAACTAGAAAGTCAGAACATAAAGCAATTTTGTTTACACATCACGTTTTTTACTTGATAGGTTACTGTTAAAATTCCTTCGAGTCATAGTTTCCTTCAGGATGCAGCTGTTAAAGCTACCATTAAAATAAAAGCGACAAGCTCCAAGTTTCAGTTAGCAGGTTAGCAGGTGGAACGTGGTTTCCAGTACATCATCAGCGACTTAGTCTGATTGCTGTAGGTTCCAAAGCCGGTACATCTTCTTTACTTGTAGGCATTGACACAAATAGCGAACAGCTTTTGGTGCAGGTAGCAAATGGATCTTTACTACAAAACAGTCTTCCCAACAATTGGTGGTGTTGGTGTCATTGCAAACACACTTCTTATCGCTGCCCTCTACAAAGAACGCAAGCTAAAACGGCCATTCCAGATGACGATTTTAAGTCTTACTGTAGCTGATTTGTTGAACTGCATCTGGCTTACAGTTGCCGGTGCAACATTTCCTCCAGTGACACATAAAATGTTTCCAGTTTATCACCAAATATTCTCGAGTTTGATCGCCTTCTCACTCATAACATCATTGCTCCATTTGATGTTTGTCTCCTTGCAGCGTTTGGTTGCAGTGCTGTTACCTTTCAGAAGTAAACACCTCATCACCTCACAGCGCTGTGCTATTGTACTTGCTCTAATCTGGCTTACCACTGCAATCGTTGTAGCGTTGTTCTATGTGGTGAGTTTGAAGGAAACAATGTTCATTCTTGTTCCAGTTTTGACATTTATTTGTGCTCTATTGCTTATTTTATCTTACAGTTTTATCTGCTATCGGTTCTGGCTGAGAAAACGACTTGCATCGACAGCCAGTTCGTCCCAATCAGAGTACATTCTTCTTTATTCCATACTGGTTACTGTCTTATTCATCATTTGCACTTTCCCCGCTAATGTTACCATAATGTACTATAGAAAATTGCACGATAACTTGAAATACGTCCCATTTTTACAATGGCTGAATCCAGTGATGGACCCTTCGATTTACTTTCTATCCAAGAAGATAAGGCGAAGAAAGACGAAACAAGTTGAACACAAAAATCAAAGTGAAGAAAAACCAACACCCCAAGGCCAGAACACAAGTGGAACTACATCTTTTTAAAGGTGTTTCAGTGCTCAGCTTTCGATTTTTTAAATTTTGTAACATAGCTTTCTCCCCACTTTTGACAAATGCTATCTTCAGCGGCTAGATGTTGTCAAATGGGTCCTTTTCGGAAAGGCAATCAATCGGCAATTACGTCTTTAAAGAGAAGGTTTGCGATTTCAGCTATTGTTGATTCTCCTGACAGGCACATTAACTTTCAGAATGACATTTACTAGGTTTGTGGATGTGAGGCTTCTGCGCTATCATTTGGTTCTTGTGACAGCTAAGTTAAAACCGAAATATAGAAAAGAGTAGCTGTTATGACAATTTTGTATCAGGTTCACAATTACTTGTCTTTATAAGGTTAAAGATTGCTTTTCTTACACCAATAATTTGCAACAATAATCTTTGAGTTACAATTTGGCCTATACCACTGAAAAGTTGGAATAAATTCTAGAAGAATCCGAATAAATCGCTAGTATACTTGGCTCCTTTACATGTTAATCGCCTTTTAACTTGTGTTGGTCCCTTTAACGACATTCATAAAATCACAAATACATCGCAAAATGTTAAAATTAAAATTAATTCGAATCGTTAATTCGACGGATTACTTGAACTTGACTGGTTTCAAATTCCCATTCGATTCTCCAACCTTACTCAAGTCAAAAGTTGTATCCCGGATAAGTCAGACACACCAGCACAAGGTAATAAGAGATATGTGCTTCAAAAATCCCAAGTTATGACGAATTTACTGTCCATGGCAGATAATGTACACCATGAATTTAGTAACAATAACCAGCCGGAGGTTTTTACCCATTTGTTCCAAACAACTACATAGATATTAACCTCGACAGGACAGTAACAAACTGATTCTCTCCTCATGGCCACAACAAATATCAAAAAAGTCCTATGACTAACAAAGGTATAAACGTTCGAAAAAGATACCTGATGAAATTCGATGGTTCCATTCTAGTCAAAACTAATACAAATCATATACAAATCATTATTTAAAGAACTTCATTCCTTTACTCTTATCCTGCCAAATTCAATATCTCTTATCTGCTGTGTCCACTGTTTTTCTTCTATTTCTTTTTACTATGCATTCTTAATTTTTACAATCGTTCATGTATGTATTGTAAAATTCTACTTTCTACAATTTAGAAATGTCCCGGCCAGATAACCACCCGGTTGGTATTTCTCAATGTACTAGTAAAGTTGGTCATTGTATTTCTTCCCTGTTCGTATATCAACCTAGAATTGTAATGTTATGCTAAAATCGTAAGAATGTAAGAATGTAAGAATGTAAGAATGTAAGAATGCTATAATCAGTCTTTGTCCTAACTTCAGTCTGATTTTTTATCGTGATTCCCTCTGTAAGAACTAGAAAACTCTCTACAAAAACGGCAATGTACTTGCTACGGCCTCTATAATGATAACAATCGGATAATTCAAATTCATAAAAATCAAAAACGTTTACAACGAGTTCAAGAGCATGCTTCATCCTCTAAAAGCAATATACAATTCTTTTAGTAGAGAAATCACTACAATCTTTAGAATTAGCAAAATTATACTCCTAAAATTATATATGATATCTAGTTCAACATAAAATTATACCCCCAAAAATTTAGAATCAAACTACAATTATCTATCTATAATCCAAAATTCGATCAATCAAAATGTGATCCCCCTCCCCTTTATCCGTACAAAATGCTAGTAATCCCTTTAAAACAACTAGCCTTTTATTATATTATGCTCTGGACCAAAGGGAAAATTGGTGATGTTCTCTGCCCCATCCTCCTTCATAACCAATATATCATGCTCCCTGTAGCCCCCAGCTCCAGGCATTCCTTCCGGTATTGTCACCATTGGCTCCATAGAAATGACCATATTTGGCTCTATTACAGTGTCAATATCTTCACGCAATTCCAGGCCAGCCTCTCTTCCATAGTAGTGACACAAAACTCCGAATGAATGACCGTATCCAAAGGTTCTGTACTGCAGCAGGTTCTCCTCCTCATACATTTCGTTAAGCTCCTTCGCAATCTCTGCACATGAAGCACCTGGCTTGAGTAGTTCCCGTCCTCGTTTCAACACCCTGCAATTTGCCTCCCACACTTTTAAATGCGCATCTGATGCATGATCAAAGAAGAGCGTTCTTTCCAGTGCAGTGTAATACCTGTTTACAAAAATCAAGATTACACTCGATTTATCCACTTAATTCTCTATTCGAAAAAGCTTCTGCTACTGTAGCCGACTGAATAACCTTAGGTATTTTGAGACAAACAATTATTCGAGTCATTCCCCTTGCATCCAGTCAAAAAACATAATCCATTGGGCAAGATCTTATTTAATCTTATAATCTGTAGTTGCATAAAGGGCGATGACTCAGACCCTTTAAACACTAGCATTACTTCGTCCCTAGACAAAACTTTTACCGTGAAGAAGCATCCCATTGCAAAATTCAGTATAATAATGATTTTCCCAAAATAAATTTCATTGAAATATTTTGGTTATTGCTTCGTTCAAAAGGCAGAAAATATAGAATTCTCCAAAAGATGCAAGTCTAAATCTAAACAATTTCGAGTTTACCGAGAATTTCCTTCTAAGCCCAAACATACAGCAAAGAAATATGTGGCTACAGAAAGCATGCCACGGAAGGCATTGATTCAGGGAACTAGTTTCAGTCTCTACTGAACGAAAAACATCGCGAAAATTGCAGGGCTGCTGAAAAAATCGCGTAACCGTGTGCCACTGTGAAAATACGAATGGATAAGGCTGCAAAGCCGCAAATCGTGTCACAAAATAAAAGTCGTGTCAAATTTCACGTCGGTTACCCTGTTTACCTAGGTAACAAAATTGAAAAGGGACTTACCCTTAACATATCTAAGAACCTGTTTTTTGTTGGTGTGCTCAGAAACAAACCCAAATGCTGGTTATATTATAGTTATCTTAACAAAGAAACAAAAAGTAAATATATTGCTGATTTTGACCTACCCAGCTATCATAGGGAAGCAATTTATGCTGATGATATCACCTTTCTGGAGTCTTCTACTTGTCACTGGGTTGTGGGCACCATCTGTGTTTATTCCTGACTGAAACCAAGTCCATGCTTAAAATAAAACATATTCTCCATTATGTCAAGTGCATTCAAAGATACCATTTTCCGATGCTTCGATGAGCAGTCTTTCATGTTTAATTATTTTAAGTAGGGTTGTCCCTCAGCAATAGCTGGTTTTCAAAGGGTCCTCGCATTAAAGCTTCAACTAAAATATATATATATATATATAATGAAAAAGAGTGACAAAACCTTAGGCATTGCAAAATTGCCTGATGGTCACGTTAAGCGTGAAACTCGGAGAGGCAATTTAGAACCGTCCTGTTCTATACCCCGAAAGTGTGTACAGCTCTGCTTATACCTCATCCAGCAGTTATTGACAGACCGCTAAACGGCAAATTAAAATACTTAAAATTTATGTAAAACTTGCGATGTCAGAAAATATGATATCAGAATCCACCCTCTCTTTTGAAAACCAAACAATGTGAGTGGGTATTCCAAAGTTTTGCAACTTTATAATAACAAACATCTCTGGTTGCTAATTTACATTTGCTTAGATAGGCCAAGGTTGATATTGCATTACAAAGGCTGTCAGATTAGCATTAAAAATTTCTGATGAAGAGATATTATGGAATCAGCTCAATGAAGGACTTCATTGGATTGACAAGAGACAAGTTCAGTCATGGCCGTCAATTAGAAGTCAGTTTTGGGCAAGCTGCTACTATTAATAATCCTAGTAGCAGGGATTTGAATTGAACTGTATAATTTCAGTACAGCACAGCCCCAGACAGAATTAACTGTGCTTGTGTGGAGAGCTTGCAAAATATCTTTTGATGGAAAAGATTGTTCCGTGAAAATTTCTACCCTGGAGACCTTGTAAAAACTTCCCTGATTTGTTCCTTCCAATCCAAAGAGAATTCAGTTTGCAAAACGACAATTTTGCCTTTTTAACTATGCAGTTACAATATTCAACGAACTATATTTATTTTCTGTGCCACTTACTATCCATTAATTCAGCATGAGGGTATGTCGCTGCGATGTCTCTGATCATCGCTTGAGTTGATGCCATTGCAACCTCGTATTCGGGTTTGTTCTCAGACATTGCTTCTCGGCAAGCATAACCGCCAATATTTGCGATCCGGGCACCGTTCTTGATCAACTCAATTTCTTCGGCCGATTTTATCATCCTATTTTTCATGGTTGAAAAGCCAACGTCGACTATTTCAGCCTTTGGTAGTGCGTTTTTCATTTTAGCAAAATTTTCTACGCTAATATGATCCAGCTCCAAACCAATCTTGGAACGGTTTCCAACAAGCTTTTGGACGCCATAGTAGAAACTATCACGTTGCCAGTCAGTGAAAGTCACTGCTTCACCAAAGGAGCGCCTCCATGGCTGCCCATAATCGATATCTGCACGAAAATGGTGATGATACAGTTCAAGCCGTTTATTCAAGCATTTTAAGAGCAAGTAAAATGTCTTTGAATCATGAAAAATGCCAAACTATGAAAACTCGCAAAGAGGAAAAACTTTTTCCTAGTTCCGTCCTGGCACTTCTTCGCCATAGAAAGTAACATCCGCACGCAGGCTAGCTTTTGCCTAACTTTGAGGAATTGAATCATCAGTGCAGATTGATTTTTATGTAGTAAGTAAGGAATACTGCAACGCGGCGAGAATAAACAACAACAAACACACGAAGATCAGTTATCGCTAATATTCCGTCCCAGCATACGGGGCTTCACACAAAGTTGCATATCAAAAGTACAGTCAAAATCAAGAAACTTACTAGCGGCTATAACTGTGTGGTCCTCTTCTGTAATGACCAGTCCATAAGGTCTGCCAAATGCACAGTACAGAAAGTCACTGTAGTAGTTCACGTTCTGATAGGAAGTAAAAACACAGGCCTCTAATTTCTGCTCTTTCATCATAGCTCTCAATTTGTCTACCCTGTTTTGCATTTCCTCCCTCGAAAAAGTCCCCACAACTTTTTCTCCTTGCCTGCAGTCAACCAATCTTTCGCGAGCTTTTTCCACGGCAGCAGCGCTCGACCCCGCCCGAAGAAACGGCTGGAAGCCGCTCTTTCTAAGATGTCTGCTGATACCGGCGAACATTTTCTCTAAAATGTGTACAAAGGAATAGTTTTATAAAAAAGAAAATGAATGGCAAACGGGCAACGGCAGAATTTTTTTCATTATACATTAATCAAACCCCCCAGCAAATTAAACGTAAATATACCAGGTACCCAGGGTAAATATATTACAGATACTTACAGTGAATAAATTTTCATAAGAATGAAAATATATGTGTATCCTTATAATTCTAGCCGCTCCTGTTCTTCCAGTGAGCTATGTTTGAGAGCCTTTGTTATCATTTTTTACTTAACAAAGATTGTATCTATAGTTCGAGAATTTTAAATAACCGAAATTCAGAATCCAAAAGAAGATCTTTGTAGACCTGCTTGAGTATCACGTGACCAATAAAAGCGAAATAAATTTCCCTTGACAGTAACTTGAACACGACTATATTCACAAAAAAATTGAGCACGTACTCATATTCTCTGAAAACTGACGAAATTGTAAACATAAGACTTTAATCAATGATTGCCACAATTTAGGCAATTAACGTAAGAATTACCGAGAACATTAAAACATACAACAATGAAAGCATGCTGCAGAACAAATGCAATTTGAATAAAATAGTCAATTAGACCATCAAATTTTACGTTAAACTGTTAATTATTTAAAATAGCTAGTTTAGCACACGAAAAAGGGAAAACGAGTGTCCAGTGGCTGATCCAGTTATAATTTCAAACCCTTGAAATCAGTAGCGGCGTCACGGGGGGGGACGGGGGGACACTTCCCCTCAGTTCTCAACACGATCAATTTTGTAATTTTGAGAGGGGTAATATTTGGCAATGTACTATTTGTGATGTACTGCCTTTACGTAACCAAAAGTTTGTCATGGACGTTCCCTTCAGGTAAAATTGGCGTTCCTTGTTTGTAAAAGGACGTTTTCTAGTGTTAGAAGGGACGTGGCCTAAAAAATGTTGTTTTGTCTCCCCCACTCCCCCAGAACGTAGTGCAGGCTTGTCCAACGCGTGGCCCGCGGGCCACATTGTGGCTCCTGATGTTGTCTAATGTGGCCCGTGCTTGGTTGAAAGTTGAGAAAGAACTGCATTGTATTTATTCAGGTTGTAAGAGAGAAATTGATTCATATTATTCATGAGATTATTATTTCATATTATTTACGCGCTATCTTGTCTAAAATACCCTCTATTTTGTGCCCAAACCATGAACATACCGCGCTTTTTTTGAAAGTTCAAGATTGGTACAAGCCCTGTTTCTAAAAAGCGAGGAAGAGGGAGAGTAAACTTGGTAAACGCAATTTCAAATTATCGCGGACAACCGATTTTTCCGTAGCTCAGCAAAATGACTTTTTTAGGTGTTTGATTTTTTTTGAAAAAATAGCAGCGCGGACGGAAAAAGATATTGCTAGGCATAATATTCTTGCAATTGCATAATATAACATTCATCTTATGATAAGCTGGAAGGCCAGATACATGTTCATAAATTAGAAGTTTCTAGTCAACAATCTCTAAGGAAATCAGATTTTTTCATTTCATTTCCTGGAATGGGACGATATGAAACGGAACAGCGCTAAACAGACAATGCAGCGATAAACATATAAATGGCCCCCCAGTTACTGCGTTATTCTGAAAGTGGTCCTTCTTGAAATAAGGTTGGACAACCCTGACGTAGTGGATTGCTTGAGATTTAAGAAGCTGAAACACAACATGTTATCTCATATTTATTCTGCAAACGAATGTAATTAGGACAAGTAATTGAGTTAATTGGTAAGAATTTTTCGGGACTCTTAACTGGTGGATATTAAGTGCTGATAAGAAATTTCCATCTATCTGCTACGAATAAACGAGTTCTGAGATAAAATGCTTAACTGTGTTATAGATAATTTTCAATGAGAATGTTTTATCTTTCATGAGACTAGATATTCTTAAAAAACTTTGGTATTCACCACCAGAAGATTTTTAAGTCGTAAAAGCAAACAAAAGGTTATCCTTAACACACTTCGCCTATAACTCACATTAAGTCGAAAGGTTACTTTCAATAAGTGGTATAAAACCGGTCTCAAAGACGGAAGTCGTTTGAAAATTTCTCAATCTGTAGTAAATTTGAAAGCCCGAAAACATCACAAAAGATAGAAAGTTTTTGGCAGGCTGAATCTTCTTCGTCTAAGGTATTGATGCTTATATTTCTCATCAATATCACATTTTCGTATTTGTCTAAAGCAGAGAAAGAGCAGAGAATCTTTGGTTCCAGGGGGTCGATATATGCAAAATTAAATTAAACTGGAATATACAATTAAAATTATTTAAGATGCAAACTCAGAAACTTGCAGGTCTCATGCAAAGGACAACGACTAAGCATAGGTTGAATTCTAATTGATTTGACTTACTTCAAGGATATGCCTCACGTAGATTTCTGCGCCTCTTCTGGCCCGTGGGCCTGTTGTCTACCTACTCTAAGGTTGCAACCCTCAATTTATACGGGATTCTATTTCGACCACTAACAGACTTAAGCTAGATAGGGCACAAAGTGGACGTTACTTAACGAGGAGTTTTTCTTCATCTTCTAACACCAACTGTGTCTTCATGACATCGTGCGCCTGTCTAGCGGCATTTCTTCTTGGTCTTGTATGAGTTCTATCATCAGAGGCAAAACCCTCCTCAGGGGTAATCGCATCTTTATGTGCATTGATCTCCATTGGATACAACAGTTGAACTGGTCGCTCAATCACCATCGCCCTTCCATTAGTCATCGTCTGTAGTTCTGCTCCTTGCGTTTTTCCACCAAACCATTTGATTGTTCTCGTGATCTTTCCAAGCCTCAACATATTCTTAGGCTGTATGTTGTTCTTAATCAGTACGATGTCTCCTTCAGCAAACTTGTTCTACTTTCCCTCCATTTTGTGGTATTTGTTGTGAAGGAGCAGCACGCGGTTAATCCTTCACTCGCTACTAGACCTCGAAGTTGCATTAGCCAGTTGTTCACGCCACGTTGCAATGAGAAAGTGTTCACGTTGGATCATGTTTATTGTTAATAGTTTATTATGTTTCTGTTGATGTTATGAAATGTTCAAAAACCCAAATTATGTCTTCTTCAAAATGTTCTAACCTAAATCTCTAAAACATATGGCACTCAACGAGGGGCAGGGCACGATAAGAAGACGATGAAATACGCGTGAGAAAATGTCGAACGAAGAAACAAGACAGTTAAGGAAGTTGGTTGCTCTTCGTGGAGGGAATCGAACTGTCGTAACAAAGCTTGACACGCAAGGAAATGAAATTTTTGATAAACTACGAACAACTGAATTCAACGCTGACTTTGCTTTCAAACTGCAATCGATCGGTACAACGCTTAACGAAAAGAAGCTACTTTTGGAAGAGCTTAATAAAGAAATTATTGATAAATGCTCTATAGAAGAAATAGAGAAAGAAATCGTCGAGACAGCCGAATGGGACTCTCGATTGAACGAAATTATCGAAAAGATCAAATATTTTACGAATGGAAGATTAACTCAACCCAGTGCAAATGGAGCTGGGAGGGAAGAAGCTCCAACCCCACTACGAGCACACGGCTCAATCAATCAGGATTTACCCCTACGATCAAATGAAAATAGGTTTCACGTTTGAAATCGAAGTGGAGCCTCGACGGCCTCAACGGAGGAATGCGTCCGGCAAAATTAAACTTGCCACGAAACAATGGAGACATTACACGATTCACATCCTTCTGGCAAAGCTTTGAAAGTGCCATACACTGCAACGATACAATTTCATCAATAAACAAGTTAAACTACTTTGTTAATTTGTTGGAAGGTCCAGCGCACCGAGCGATTGCTGGTCTTGAACTAACCAAGGCGAACTATGTTAATAAAATTGAAACATTACATCGCCGCTTCGGCAATATGCAGTGATGTAAGCAGCATCTGACTTCGAACACAAAATTTACGCTTCATTTGATCAAAGCTCAAATTTTTCAGCGCAGTTGAAAGTTGATCAATCAAAACATCCCTTGATCAAGAAAGCTATAGAGCTTATCAATAACCAGCATACAATTGAGAATGGCCGACTGAAACGAGTAAAATCACAATTACAAATTAAGAATGGAATTCTCACCAATCTGGCCGGCCGGTTGTCCCACCTTCACTGAGACAAACTGTTGTCCAAGAATACCACAATACAGCTCATTTTGGGGTCGACAAAATATACTGTTTATTGAAAGAAGCGTCTATTGGCCCAACATGTTCGACTACATCCGGTCCTTTACATTAGCATGTGAAGCTTGTCAAAAAACAAAATGCGATACATCGCCCCCAAAAGCCCCTCTCGTCAAAATGTTTAATCCGAACGCACCTATGCAATTTGTATCACTAGACATGGCTTATCTTTCGAAAGACCACAGCGGCTATCAATACATGCTCCTAGTAGGAGATGTGTTTTCAAAGTACATTCAAGCCATCCCACTCAAAGATCAAACTGCACCAGCAATCGTTGAGGCATTTTTGAAGCATTGGGTTTACATCCATGGTACACCATTCTATCTCCTTACTGGCCAAGGATCTAATGTAGACGGTCAACTTATGAGAGACATTGGCGATACCTTAGGAGTCGAGCAGCGTCGATCCTCTGCTTATCATAGCCTGGGTAATGGTTTCGCAGAGAGAAACATTCGCTCGGTCAAAGATATGCTTCGTGCAGTTTTATTACATCGTCGTCTTTATCAGTGGAAAAGGCGCTCGATCTTACCCGGATTTTGCGTTAAACGCTAGTACCAGCAAATCTACAAATTGCATTCCTTATACTGTTGCATTTGGAAGATCTGTGGTATTGCCACAAGATATTGTTTTCCATCATGTTATTGCCAACGAACACAATAATTTGACAACGGCTGAGTATCAGCGAGATGTGGTATCATCCTTGTCCGACGTTTTCGAACAAGTTATCCTTACAAATCCTTACAGACCAACAAACAGCGAATGCAACCATACTATAACAAGAACCTTCGATTCTACGACTATCGGGAAGGTCAGAGGGTCTGGCTAAAAACTAAGCATCACAAAACTGCCGAAAACCGCAAGCTAGCGGTCCATGGACCGTGCTCCAGAAGTTGCCGAATGGTGTCAACTTAAGGATTGAAAACGATGGACGGGAAATCAAAGTTGTACACCATGACAGACTATCACCGTTCGTCGATAACGAATTGCGAGGTGAAGAAACAGATCAGCTTCCAAACCATACAAGTCAGTCAACAAACCATTCTACAGATGGATTGGACGATACGGCTAGTGAACTATCTTCTGAAGATGATTCGTCTTATTCTGAAGATTCAGAGGAAAGTGGACATGAATTCGTAGACGGAAATGGCTATATGATGCAGATTCAACAGATCCTGGCGATTATGCGGACGTCCAGTGACGAGAAAAGGACCATCGAAATTGCGCAAAAAGCGAGTTTTTTGACCAGAAAGAGAGGCTTGTTTTCCTTGCGTATGTAGACAAATTTGCCGTTTGGTATCTTTACATCGCGCGAAGCGATATCATAAAGCTCGCGTTTGGCGACATCTTAAATCTCCTTTAATGGCGCTAAACTGCGTATGTGCCTCTTCTATACGCTGCATTAAGTTATGAGCATTTCTTATCAGAAGGCCTAGTTGACGGAGTTGTTCGATTACAATTAAATTTGCCACAAATAGAGCATTTACGCAAAAAACCTTTTTTACACCTGCCATTAGACTGCTCGCAGAAAGGTCTAGAAAGTTTATTAAACTGTAGACAGATTTCACCTGAACGAGAAGTTACATCCCGTGGGGGGGGGGTTACATCCCGTGGTTGGGGGGTTACAACTTTAAGAGCGAGAGGCAAAGACAACGCACTCAATACATTTTATGTGCTCTTCAATTGCACTAAAGACTAACTCTCTAATTAATTACAAACACTTATATATACGTTAATACGTGATGTGACATTGATTAATAGCTAACACGTGATATGACATGTGATTATATACACGTGTCCTATTACACCCATACCCCCTCCCCCCCCCCCTTAAGTGATGCCTTTGCTCGCAGTGCCCGTAAGTGCTCTGTCGCGTTTGTGTTGATGTTAAGAATTTATTTCGGCATTGGATTTGTTCCACATTTTTGCAGTCTTAAAGAGACTAACCTGATTAGAGACTGATTAGAAAAAAGGGGATACACATTAACAAATATAGCAGACGAATCTTTAAAGGTGATAAAAACTGGCGTCTTTGTAATTTTTCGTTGGTGCATGGTTTCCAGATACGTGCCATTTTTGGCGACCTGTGGCTTGTGATTGGAGATGAAGAGCGAGCCACCCGATGATCATTTTCTCCCGGCCCTTATCTAGAAACGGGCCGGCAGACGCTAGTTTATTAATAGCGTACTTTCAGACAAACAAAAGCGAGTTGATAACTACTATCAAGATTAAAAAAAATGATTAGTTAATCATTATAATAAAATAATTAGAAAAGCTTACCGTTCCGGGTTAGATGGAAATCTGAAGAACGTTTGTTTCAGCCTTGACAAACTATTGTTGCTACAATTAATAGCTGCACAATTGTAGCGTATTTTCTGTTTTTTCTCCATAATTTCGTATTTCTTCGACGATGGTTCGCGGAAACTTCGAAGAACAGAACAAAGATTCGCTGGCTCCATAAACTCGTTTTGAGACGCAGCATTATTTGTATGCGTAACCACTAATAATGCTTGAGGGAGCCTTCTCTGTAATCTCTATTCTGTGGCTAGTAAAAATCTCTTCAATACCCTTAAACACGGTGGACGGGAGACCTATAATAACTTCGCTTTTCGGATTAATAATTCATCATATAGTTATATGCAGTTTCTGCCTCATCATTGTATGCTTCGCGTGCGTGCAGACTCTATCGAAACATTGAATGGGGAGAAGCTTTTCGGTTAAGTCTGCAGGTTATGTTTGTTTCATCTTTGGCAAAACACTACCTTAAAAAACAACCCAAAAGGAAACTTGCCATGATCTTTTTTTAAAAAGTTTTTCCGGTACACATAATTGCAAGTTTCGAAAAATCTTTCTTGACGATGCAGCATGAATATTACTAGCACACAGCATGAGTCTGTCCCCAAAGCCTGTCTGATTACCCATCGTCTAGCGTCGCTTTATTGAACTTGCCAACAAAGAACAAGAAGTCTAATCGAGGTTTGATGTTTGCAAAAGATTGAGCATACTAACAACAAAGAATTTTAGCATCTTTACGTTACAGTATCAAAATATAAACACAAGTCTGCAATACTCACAAGTTCTGCAACGTAAGGCCGCTTTATGATATCCTCCAGGCACTTATTATGCCACAGAATAGATACGTAGTCTGTGTGCGTGTCGCTGTGTTTTATCTAATGACGGGGGAATACCAAGTCAGACACTGCGGAACGTTGAGAAAAGTGGGGGGGAGTCTAAAATAAGGGGGTAAAACCGAATAAAAAGAGGCTTCACTCGTGGTAAAAAGTAGGGGGCTAAAGCTCCTCAACCCAATGCCCCCCCCCCTGCTCCGCGGTGCCTGAAAGCAGGCACGTAAATAATAGGGGGGCGTGGGGGGCGTAACGCCCCCCCAAAGTTTGGAAAATCCAGTTACAGTTGGAAAACGTAACGGTTGACTTGGAATTTTTTTCTTAAGACCAAACTTGTGAATTTTATATTTTAAGAAGTTTTTTTATTTTAAATATAAAAATTCTAAACATTAAAATTCACAGGCTGATGCTGACCCATCCAATCGTTTTCTATTGTGAATCCCGTCTCCACTGGATCCAAATTGCACACTTGCCCCGTTTTCTTTTTCTTTCTTTCTGACGGGAGTTGAATCAAATTACGAACAGGCAAGGTGAACTTACGGATAAGAAACTTGAAACTTACAGTTTGGAATAATAATACCCGCATTGATCAGAAAATATTAGAGTGGGAATTTTTTTAAAAACTACGAGTAGTTAATTCAATAAAAGATTAAGAATCTTTCAGTACTAAAAATTCTCAACGCTTCTTATAAAAAACGAGTTTATGCTAAACTCCCCCTGTTATTTGTTAATGTCCTTGAGTCCTTATCATAAATTCATATGACAAAACTGCTGTGGAGCAAGAACACATTGCAAAAACTGCAGTAGAAGTATTTGATCAAAGAAGAGTATTTCATCTTTCGAATCAGGCATATGCACAAGTTTGTTCTCAAATCATCATTTCAATTGTAAAGAATGAAAAGGCATTTGGCCCTCTGAAAAGTTTAAAGGTAGTTTTCTTCGATCAAGAACGAAAATAAAAGGCCCAAATTCTTGGTGCTTCTATATCGTGAAAAAATGTATTTTAGATAAAATTGATCAATTGATCTGAAAGAATACTACTAATCATTAAGTATATCTAATACTGGTTTTGCTTAAATGTTGCTTTACTTCTTACAGTATGTTTAATGTTTGTTTCATGTTAATCAAAATTTAGAGATTTAGGCTTTTATGCTTTAGGCTAATTATTGAGTAAAGATTTGGTAATTATAAAGAAAATAGAACTATGGTGCTCGGGCTATTTACAAATATCAATTTGGTAGGTACAACAGATCTACTGGTCGAATGAAAAATTTATCACTTGAAGTTGGAATTTTCATACTTCCACGCCCCCCCAAAATTAGCAACTTGTTTTCGTCCCTGCCTGAAAGTACATTTCGCGACAAGCTTCTCACATTTTCGCAATGTACATTTCTTCTATGAATTGGTTCGGCTTTGTTTCGAAACAATGAAATGGTTCATCAAAAGTAATCGACACATTCTTTAGACCACAAACAAAACGGAAACACTTGCCAATGAATTTGGAGTTCCTTAGAAAGGCACAAAATGAGGACTCAGTTACAAACAGGTTGATCCATTTCAAGGAAAATGGTAGACCATCGCAAGAAGAACTACAGTCAGAGAGCCCGTCAGTACGAACCGCAATGCATGAATGGAATAAGCTGACGATTAAGCATGATGGTATTTTGTATCGAAAGACAAATGAGAGAGAACAATTAGTGTTACCATGAAAGTATCATCGATTGTGGCGAAGCCAGCTCTGGAAAGTTGGTCATGCACTTGGGCAAAAAAAACAGGGTATTCGGCACCACAGCAAGGTACCCAATTCAAATTAAGGTTAGATTGGTTCCGTTGAGAAAAGTGTTTTCAGCTATTGTGAAAATACCCAGAAAAGCCTTAGGCGGGCAAAAAACTTTTAATAATTTGCAAAATAATAATTTTCAAAACTTTCTTGAGACATGTTTTGAAGAAGCCTTAGCTTTAGGTGCTAAACATTTTCTTAATTTCTGAAATTCAAATTTCATCTTGTTTTTAATGTTAACTTGCTTTAAACTCTGACATTCAATTTATTAATATTTACTATTTCAAGAGCAGTTTGATTCACCTGATCAAACTGTCAGATATTGAAGTAAGGCTTTTTTAGATAAAATAACACAGTTAGATTTGATTTTCATAACATTACATAAAATGTCTAAATTGTTTTGCTCTGATACATGAGAAGATAAATACACTTTTGATGACCCTTCCCTAATTCCTTACTTAGAACTATTGTACTTAAAAGTACAAATAGTGTTATTTTTACAAATAAAAAAATTAATGCCCTCTAGTTAATGTTCATGCTACACCTCATTTCTTTTAAATTCGTTATTCTTAATTTGGCAAAACAGATTATAATCAGAAAATAGAGAGTTCTCCTCTGAAACAATCTCAATACTCCCATCTCACACAACATCAATAATAAAAAAGGCCATTATAAGATAAATACTGAAAAGGTTAAGACAACACTAATTTTATGCCTCATTGCATCTCAAACTTGCATTGCATGTCTCTAACGAGCAAGAACAATGAAGCTTTTGTGTTTCTTCTACTTACAACAAGTTCTAGAGTCACTCATTCTGAATATTTCAAGCTACATATTAAGGAAATTTATCATGTAAGTCCATTAGCCATTATCAAAGCATGTAATACTTTGGGCTTGCCAATCATCAGCACAGCCACAAAATGATATTAGAACCAGGCAGTTTGTTGCATTGTTTTTCTTGTAATATGAGCGTTGCCTGCCTTATCATCAGGCGCCATAGGCCTAGTTCGTGCATGTCATTTCCTCGTTGACATAGGCCTAAATAGATGGTGACATAATGCTCTATATCCCGTGCCATGTGTGGCCAATAAAATCTCTCCCTAGCTAATGCAATCACTCTGTTTGCTCCAACGTGTCCCATTTCTTCATGTAGTTTCTTCATGCACTAATCGTCGAAAGTCACCAAAGTATGCAAGTGTCTAATACGTAAGAAGCCAGTTGTTAATCAACGAGCACCAGCGCAGAGTATAAAGACAAGTGCACCATTTGACCTTATTAGCATTTACTTTGTCCACCCCCTTTTAGTTACAAAGGATACGAATACAACCTTGTAATTATAGACCATTGTACTCGTTTTGCTCAAGGCTATGCTACCACAAATAAGTCTGCAAAGACCGCTGCCGAGAAGCTATTTAGTAACTTTATTCAAAGGTTTGGATACCCGCAAAGAATCTATCACGAACAAGGCACAGAATTCGAGAACGATTTAATCCACCATCTAGAACAGTTAACCAACATTAAACGATCTCCAAAATGCTGTCTATGAAGTTGAACCAGAGAATGGTACAGGAAGGAACTTGTTGTTACCCTGTCCATTTTTGTCTTATGAAGACTTGACAGAGACCCGTAATCATCGCAGAAAACAAGACGAAAAGCCATTCCTTTCAGATCCTGTTGTACAATCTGAGAAAGGAATTTCAAATGATGAATTGGAGAATGACTTATGTGTTGATCCAAATCAACTAACGGAAGTTATACAACATATTAATGATCAAAATGGACCTGTTCCGGCTGCTGGACAGACCGAGATAGGAATGCCATCACCAATTCCGGACGGAGAATCTGATAATGTGACCGATGAACTTCCAAGTCATGCAGAACCCGGAAATGCGACAATGAACGCATCTACGTCACCTTCCTCTGACTGTTGTAAAGTAGGCAGAGAAGCAAAAAGGCATTTGATTGCATTTTTGAATTATTTATAAAAAAACATAACAAAACGAACAGCAATTTATTTAGCCATAAAAAGCTACAACCTAGTCTCTATCTCGATCACAGTGTTCAGCCCCGAATTATGTGCAACACGCTGTTTTTATAACCTGCATAACACGTGACTGCAGATCCGGGGGTACATTCCAACACACTCCCCCGGTTTGGTTCTGAAGGAATTAAACTAATTTGACAATATACAATACATTTTACTAATACATTTAAATTAGAATACAATTGTTATACCATTACTAATACAAGTGTCCATATACCAATTTCTGAACAAGTCAGGATCTATATTTACGTCTTAATTCACCAATAACCGCTGCGCTCCGTCTAGCTCTACCGGACTGTTGATTCTGAGCATGCGTTGTGATATTCTGCGCTTGCGCGTTAGTGCTTGGCGTTTGCGTCACAGTGGGACTAGCTCCAAATGCAGAATGCTTATCAGGCGTAGACGTAGCTCTTATTTCTAGAGGAACTAACTGCTTCAAAGATCTTAAAAACAACTTCTTACTGCCATGCGGTAAAACTGAAACTTGTGCTGATCTGACTGAGCCATCTCTACCTGTAACTAACTGTTCAACTTTACAAAGTTTCCAAAAGGCTCTCTTGACTTGAGAATTACGTAAATACACCACAGGGTGCATCATAAAACGGATAATTGTATTAAATGAAAGCGGCATGTGGTTGACACCCGAATCTAATCGATCATTGAACGATAATGAAGTGCTAGACCTTGCGGAACCATCGAACACTATGCGCAATTTAGTAGTCTGCCTTTCATAATGTTGGGGCCCAGACAAGTCTCAGTGAACGTGATTATCTAAGTTGAAACTCGTAATAAGTTAGTTAGTTGGTTGGAGTAGAGTTGAAGTAATGATGGTGATCGGCGAAAATGTGAAACAGAATATTGATGGATTTGATACAAAATAGTTACACAAAATGGTGATATTTCTCTGAGTCTTCATCTTACACTTCGTTTATCATTAAATATTAAGATAGGGGCACCGCTAGAAATAGTGGTCCCAACACATTCGTTTACTTTCTCAATAATACCATCGGGCAATTGTTGTTCAAATACTTCATTGTACTGTTTCAGTAACTTAGGATCGGTCTTCAATTTGTTATAAAGTGACAAAAGTCGCCTTTTACTCAGATCGTAATTCGTTTCTAATTCGTTATCAATGCTATCCTTCCATTAAAGGCCTACTTCATAACGCTGATT